GAAGGTTGGAAATAATAAGGAGGATCACTTGAGGAAGTGCTGAGTATCACTTCCCCTGGACTACAATTATCTTTTGTTTTTGTTTTTAAATCCAAGTGCTATTTCCCTTAGACTCCTTTTCCCTGATTATCCTAAACAGGAACATGAGAACAGAGAAGGCAGCAGAAGGCAGCTAGTTGCTTCTATAAATGTCAACCATAGATCAGTCAAGAGAGTTTATGTATGTTTGCATGATAAAAGGGTTTTGCAGAGTTGGTTCACCCAATGGGAATAAAACTGGCACAGAGGAAATATTCTGGTAGGGCTTCCTGTTCTACCATTTGTACCTCTTTTGAGCCAAGAAGCCTTTGAAAACCCTACTAGAAGTATCTATCATCACATCCAGGGTGTGTTTGTTATTATTCAAGAACATGGAAGCAAACTATTTAGCCTTTGTCATATAAGGAAGAGTGCTTATCTTCCCGTTTGAGTTGGTGGCCATGAGGAAGGAAGAATTTTCTAGAACAGAAGGCTACCTAGAACAGGGGCGTCCAACCTTGGCAACCCTAAGATCTCTGGACTTCAACTCCCAGAATTGGCGGGTGGGGAATTTTAGGAGTTGAAGTCCGCGGGTCTTAAAGTTGCCAAGGTTGGACACCCCTGGCCTAGAATTTCACTTGATTTGCCTCTGCCTGACATTCGAAAAGACCAACCTCACCCCTTGGCTTTTTGCTTCCCAGAAGATCAATAGTTTGTTTGGAAAAGCATCCAAGGCCATCCTCATTTCATCCCCTTTTGACTCCCATCTCGGAACGCAACTCCCCTTTGTGTTCAAGCAGCGGGTTGGCCCGGGAAACTAACCTGCGTAACTCAACAGCGTGTGGAGTGAAGAAGCCACTGTCCTGTTTTCTCTCTCTCTCTCTCTCTCTCCTTCCACAGATGTTTGGGGGACATCCCCCTGGAACTATCCCTCGGCCTCCTTGGTTTTGTGCAGCCTGTTGTCTTTTCACCCAATCCATCTCATTTCTTTGTGTGTGACTCTAACCCTCTTCCTCTCCTTTGTCTCTTTCTACCTCGACTATTGACCAAACTTGGGATGAGTGCCATTCGTGATTGGAAACTGTGGCAGGTGCTTTTTGTCACAAGTTTTCAACCCTTTTTACACAGTGACCAAAAAGAGGGGAGGTGCATTGGAAGGTGTTTAATGGCATGGGAAGGAGTGGGGAGAAGCCTTTAATTGTGCTCCAAGGAGAGGCATGAGAGCAAACCTTTTTGAATAGCCTCCTGCTCAACATTTCTTGAGTTGGGTTTACTTTAAGTGGTGGTTTTTCTCCCTCCTGCTGAAGTGAAGGAGAAATGATGCTTTTTGCAAAGAACCATTCCCTTCATTGCTTCTTAATGTCCCTCTTTACTCGTGAGATACCTGAGTGGCAGGTGTGCTCTTTTCTCTCAACGGCTTCTTGATGTACAAAGGAGCACATGAATGCCGAGGCAAGAGTCCTGTGTTTTGGACTACAAATCTCATAAAGCCCCCTTAGCATGGTCAGGGCTTATGGGTGGTGTGCCCCAAAGTCCATGGACACCTGTCCCTTCCTTCCATCTATTTGAGACCAATGAGCTGCTGTGTAAAAGGAGGTTGTGTTCCTTTTCCTCTAGGTTGCATGGACAGTGTGGTCGTCTCCTCCTCTCTTTTCTTGGGTGGGGGCTGTTTGTTGACTTTTATAATAACCATAACTTCTTTTTTCCTTCAGCATTGGTCCTTTGAGACTTAACACCCACAAAGGTCCATTCTCAATTTGGTCCAGACTTTCAAAGCCCCTTCCCATGAAGAAGTGAAAAAAGGGCAGGGGAGGAACAAAGAGGAAAGATGTTTACACTGGGGGTTTTGGGGAGGTCTGGATCCATCCTCATGTCTATCCTGACTCTGAAAACCCAACTTCCCTCTGTTGATACAGTTCCTCCTTTGAGTTCCGAGGAGGAAGCATCAAAACTGGCAAATCTGGATTTAGAGGGAGATCAGAATTGGGAAAAGCTGAAATTCGTGCAAGTTGTTTAATGCTGCTTCTGTTTACCCGCCAATAAGCTTCATGGAGTTCAGTGGGAAAACTCTGCTTTTGATGGCAATCATACTCTTGTAAAGGCCCCTTTCGCAGATTGGCCTAAATGCATGAATGCCAAAGGACATCACCAATGGATGGGACTGGTGGAGGGGGATAGATTAAGAGGAACTTCCCTTTCCACTGTGGTGGAAGGAAGGAAGGAAGGAAGGAAGGAAGGAGGGAGGGAGGGAGGGAGGGAGGGAGGGAGAGAGGGAGGAAGGAAGGAGGGAGAGAGGAAGGAAGGAAGGAAGGAAGGAAGGAAGGAAGGAAGGAAGGAAGGAAGGAAGGAAGGAAGGAAGGAAGGAATAGAGCATGAGGAGGGAGGAAGGGTGGGAGGGAGAGTTGGGAAGTTTGGACTGACATATTCAGTGGTCTCCCACCTCTAACTGGAAAGAGCATGTTCCAGCCACAAAATGTTCTTCCCCATGGCCTTTGTGACTCACTCAGGAAGCTTGGCTCTGTATCCAACTTCTGTAATGACACCCCAACATTTTTAGGGTCCTTGGAATCTCCTCCTCCTCCTCCCTTCTTTTTCTTTGCAAATTTCACTCTTTGCCTTGTAGCACTGATGACGATCCCTAGTTGGGTCATTAAACATCTGCAAGAAAACCACCAAGCTCAGAGAGCACCAAGCACACCACAAGTCCTCCTTGTCCTCGTCATCTTCATCTTCCTGTTCCTTCTTCCTCTGGAATTGGTTGGGCTGGGGAAGAGGGAATGGGCCATGGGAATGGGAAAATCAACCTTCGGAGTGTGACCATTTTTCAATCGCAAGAAGGCAGGAAATGAGGCCAGAGGGATCCTTTCCTGTTTCACCTGCAGTGGGTTGGCCTTCTCAGGTCACTGCCTCTTCGGGGGGGGGGGTCCATTTTTTTGGCATGGCTTCCGTTGGGTCCCTGGAGGGATAAGAAAGAAGGCAAAGGCAACTGTGCCCTTGTTTCTTTTCTTAGAGATGGCACGAACACACCAGTCATCCCAAACATGAATGGGCGTCTCCAGGTTTCCATATATGAACCCTGGGAAAAATTATTTAGATAATGTCCTGAGACAGAAATTCCTTTTTGATGGTACATAGCAGGAGTGTAAATACAGACTTCCACTCGGATGTTGTGTTTGGCTGCTCACAAGCCCTTTCCCCCAACTTCCCATTGAATGATACAAGTTACATTTGGTCAGGAGGAACTGTGACCAACAGCTATTGGACCTCTTCTTGTGAACATCTCAAGAAGGAAACTCAACATCTTTCTTCAGGGTATCTTCTGCTAGGGACTTACAGGCCTCTACTGCTATGTCTCTTTTCTTAAGAACCTCGGAGTAGCTACTCTTGACTGAGACTATGGATAAGGCTCCACTTGAATAAGATTACTACTCTTTTCTTCCCCACCTTCACAACTTAGGAGCTGTCAGTATCTTTTCTGCTTCTAAGTACAAATAAAATGCTCGATCGTGACTGGTGAACCTGGAAAAAAACCCCACCCCATTGAATATAATCCACTGAAGATAAATTCTAGATGATTAGAAGTTCCTGTTAGCACTGGAACTTCTTTTGATCATCCGAGGGGGTCTTTTCTTCCCTTTGGCTTTTGGGGTTTCTTTGTTTTTGTTTTTTATACATCTGAGGGTACAACAGCAACTGAATTAGCAGCCATCCCAGACTTTTGCATGCTCATCCTATAATCACTCTTAACATCATTTAGGGCAGGGGACTCCAACCTTGGTAGCTTTAAGACTTTTGGACTTCAATTCCCAGAATTGGGCTGGCTGAGGGATTCTGGAAGTTGAAGCCCGCAGATCTTAAATTTGCCAAGGTTGGAGATTCCTGATTTAAGGGCCTTGTCAGAAGAAACCATTAATTTCATTGAGAAAAGCAAGGAAAGGAAGCAAAATAGAATTCTCAGGGTGCTTTCCTGAAAATTTGATTTGGGTTTCAACTTCTCTTTCATGTCGGCTTCTGTAGGATCTCTTTAACTAGCTGTTGTAGTTTAGGATCCCATAACAAAAGGAAGCGGGGAGTGTTTGTGTGCACATACATGTGTGCACGTGTGTAGATGAACTGAAACAGAAAAGTGTTTAGATTGGACCATGAGCAAGACCCAGAAGCTCCGCTGCTGCCGAGGGGGGCATTCAATGCACGAGTTTCGTGCAGATTCCAGAATGCTGAATGTTGAAATCTGATAGGAAACCAAAGAAGGGCTGTGTGATTGTCAACACAAAGATGTTGTGTTTCCCCCCACAAAGGGGTGGGAGGAGAAAGAAAATGTCGTGTGTTAGCCTTCCAGGAAAAGTGAGACAAGGGATCATTTGTATGTACTACTTTGAGCTCCTCAAGGAACATAAAAGATTTACTGACACTCTTAAAATACTCAAACTCTGCGAAAATTAAAGGCAAAGCTCCTATTTTCCTGTCTACACCCTTGGCCACAGGCTCAGGAGATTCACCCAGGCCTCCTGGTTTCCAGGCAGATCCTGAATTTGTCGGGCGCAAGAAATCAGGAACCAGGGTTATTCCACTGCGTACAAGTTTATCCCACACTAAACGGGAATCTGAACTACTAACGGTCCAAACCAATTGGCGGTAGATGAGGGTCAATGAAATTCAAGGTGGGCTGGGCTTAGATCTCTTCTGGGTTTGAAGGGATGCCAAACTGATGACATGCTTTGCCCCTCCTCCCTTGGGCTCAGCCTGGTCATCTACTCCAGAATCGTCTTCAAATCTTTTTTTTTTTTTTCCTTCATGAGAAACTTTTAGGCTTCAGTGAAAAGGTGGAGGTGGAATGGAGTTTGTGGTTTGAAGGTGGCCCAACCTTCCGGCTTGAGCTACAGGAGCCTATTTGAACCTGGGTCGGTTGTGGGGTGTCACTGTGTATTTGTTGAGTCGATTGCTTGCCCCCATTCAATGTGCAATTACGCTCATTTTGGCAGGGGAGCCCAGCGCGCCAAAGCTGGAAGGCCACATGGGAGGAGACGGGAACTCCATCAAAGTGAACCTCATCAAGCAAGACGACGGCGGATCCCCCATCCGCCACTATCTCATTAAATACAGAGTTGTAAGTCTGGCTGGCGAGCCTCTTGGTCAGCTTCTGGGGCTGGTTTTTTAATCAGGGGCGGGAGTCAAAAATCCCAGCGACCAGTTCGCTGCCCGGTTGCTGGGTGGGTGTGGCCATGGTAGGTGGGGCCTACTGGAACTTCTTGTTTCCGGCTTCCAACGGGCCTGCAGAGCCCAGAGGAGGCTGTTTTTACCCTCACAAAGGACCAGAGGCCTCCCTCGGGCCTCTGGGAGGGCAAAAACAGCCTCTCCTGGTCTCTGGAGGCCCTCTGGAAGCCAGAAACAGGCCTGTTTCTGGACTTCCAGAAGGCCTGGTTTTCCCCCTCCCAGAGCCTCTGCACAGACCCTGCACTTACCTCCATCAAAAATGGGTCGTGTGGAGACTCCGGGGAGGGGACGGGCCAGCCCGTCGGTTGAAATACCGGCTTGGGGAACCATCCAGTTCTCCCAAACTGATCCAAACTGGTAGAATCCCACCCCCTGTTTTTAACCCTCGGCTGATAATTAAAAGGAACAACCCTTAGTTCACGTCAGTCAATTTGCCGGATAAATTTGTCTGCATTTGGAGGTTGGAAAAAGCAGAAGAAATTATTTTGTTGAGTGAAAAAATATTACAGTAGCTTTGGGACTTCCTAGAAAAAGGTGCCTTGTAATGAAGCCCTGTTTCTCTCAAGCTCAAAATCAAGTTTAATAAAGATAAAGAAGATCACTTTAAAAGACAATGCTACTATAATGTCATAATGTCTGCTTCCCCCTTTCTCCCTCTGCACTCATTCTCTGAAAAGGGTTGAGTATTTTCAAATACCTGCCATATACTTCACCCTTAGCTTCCTTTGAAAACGTCTTATTTTTGCAAACCTTCATTCAACACCTATTCTTTCACTGCTCCTTTGGAAAGGAAGATGGGAGAAGCAGTAGCAGAAATAACTGCAGGCCCCAACTTGCGTAGGAACTGGTCAGGCACAAGCAAGGACATTCTGCTGGCCTCCAGAAGCCTTTTAAACACCTCACTGGGGAAGCCTCGGTGTTTGGGCTCAGCAAACCAAGGATGGGTGGGCTTGAGAAAAAGGGAACATGGAAGAGCGTGGAAGTAATCCACAATTTCTGTGTGACCTTGTCTTTGAAGGCATCACCAGCTGCCAGTGAAGGTCTTCAATGCATGATGTTCTTCCCTAGAGCTTCTAGGTGCTACATTTGTTGGAGTGAAAATGCCTAGAAGTTCTAGGCAGGTCTACGATATCCCATAATGCAGGGATCTCCAATCTTGATAACTTTAAGACTGGTGGATTTCAACGTCCAGAATTCCTATGGCTGGCTGAGGAATCCTGGGAGTTGAGGACTGCAACTCTTAAAGTGGCCAACATTGGAGTTCCTTGCCATAAGGGATGCTGCCCTTCCACCATCATTTATAATGTTGTTAGCTCTTACACGTTCCATATTGAGCAGGGAAAACCTTCAGCCAGTCCTAAGACAGATACGCCTATAGATACTCCTAGACTTCTCCTTTATCAGGTGTCAAGGTCTTAGATACCCCCATCTCCACAGAAAGCAAGGTTCTCTGGGAAGTCCTTTACTAAAGAAGGATGGGTAAGGTCAGAGGAAGTTGATCATCCTCCCTCCCTCCTTCCCTTTGGGATTTAATGGATCTCCTAGATTCCTAAGAAGACCTTCCCAGTTGCCATTGGGAAGTCCTTCTGTTAATGGCCTGGTGGTTAGCATGGGGATTTGTCTCCAGCTTCAACAAGCCATGATGTCTCAGGACACCTGTGGGCGAGGGGCAGAGCAGAAGACCCTCCCCAGGTGGGCGGGTCAAGGTTCATCCTTGAGTGTTGTCCTGCTAACTGGACCTTGATGGCCTGACCAGAGAAGAGCATGATTCATATCTGCTTTGGTGCAAAAGCCAACAGTGGAAGGGTGCAAGGGATGGCTTGGTCTTCCATGTCAAGCTTCTGAAACTGAGATAGTTCCCAACTCCATGGTCTTCATGCCTCCATCCTCTTCCTCCCTTCCCCTTTTCTGCAGAAACAATCTTCTGACTGGAAGCCAGAAATCCGCCTCCCTTCGGGCAGCGACCACGTCATGCTCAAGTCGCTCGACTGGAACGCCGAGTATGAAGTCACCGTCATCGCAGAGAACCAGCAGGGAAAATCGAAGCCAGCACGCTACGCTTTCAGGACCTCAGCCCAGCCCACCACCATCCCAGGTAGCTTCTCATTTTCTACCCCCCTTTTCCGCTTGAACTTTTAATGCACTGGCACCACATCCTTTAATGCGCTTCCGTTTAAAACCACCAAGACAAAAAAAAAAGCCACAGAAACTCTCCTCGGCCACTCGCTTGCTTTCCGTCATCCTCATAACTGGTAATCCATTTTAGAACTTAGCTTTTCGGCCTCGTACATACTGAAAGGGCCTGTCTGCCGTATGTATGCTCCATCGATGGTCGGTCCCATCAACCCCTCTCGGCAACTCTTGAGATGGTTGAGTTTGTTGTGCATGGCTTTTGAGTTTGGTTCTTCCAAGCAGGGCACAGAAGCAAGTGGGGAAATCCACCAGTTTGGGTCACTGGTTTTTCTCCACTTGTCGCTGATGGTCCCCTGCCAGGGGCCAAGATGGTAATGGTATGGCAAAGTATGGTCAACCATGCGTCCAGGAAACCTTGGCGTTCTCTGCTAAGATGGTTCCTTCAAATGCTTGGCTACAAAGAGCTGAATACCAGGATGCAAATTAAGCATGTATTTATATTTAGCTCCTTTGTATCATTGGTTTTGCTTTGGGTGAGCAACCACTAAAAATAATGCAGATTTTTACCCTTCTCTGTCCCCTCACCTTTGGGGTTCCTGGCATCCCTAATTCTGAAATAATTGAAAGGGTAGAGGAAGAGCTCATAGAAAAGATGAGGAACTCTACAGCTCCCTTCCTTCCTTCCTTCCTCCTTTCCTTTCCTTTCCCTTCTTTTCCTTTCTTCCTTTCCTTCCTCCCTCCCTCCCTCCTCTCTCTGTGTCTCTCAGTCTTCTCTCTCTCTCTCTCTCTTTCCCACTTTCCCTCTTTCTCTCTGTCTTTCTGTACAACATAGGCTGCAATGGGTCTTTGATACGATTTGTCAGCCAAAGATTTATATTTCACTCGAAAGGACAGTTTCATTATCCCAGTGTCCAGTAACATACTAAAACAACTGACGATTCATTCAGCCACATCAGCAATTCTAATGCTTCCCCCACCCACCCCTTTCACCTTGGTTTCTCTGAAAGACAAATTGTGCAGCTCCATTTGAAATAAATCCGATTGGGGAGTGGAATGGGAGACTGGCTCCAGGTATATTTTTAACATCATTCTGTTGGCAAAATTTTTTGAATCCACAACTTCTTAACTTGACCTGTCCTCTGGCGTTCATTTTGTTTCCCCAGTCCCCTGAAAAACCTCCAGTTTGTATGAGATCCGTCCCGGTGGGTTGAAATTTGGCATTAAGGCCTCGCATTTCATTTTCCAAATGCTCAGAGACAAATTTATGTGGCAAATTCTGAAGAGGGCTAACTCTGACCTTTGACATTCCAGTAGGAAGGTCCTCCTGACATCTTGATCTTGTGCATTTGCTCAGTAAAACCCTCCCCAGTTGGTGCCCAAGTCCCAGGCCATCTCAGTAAACATGGCCAAAAATGCAGCGGTGAGGAAGGCAGGTGCTTATAACTTCTAGTTGCTATTTTAGAATTAGCAGAAGGTTGAATGACATTCTGGGCTGGTGAAAAGCCCCCGGGGCGAAGCAGTAGGACAGTGAGGGGGATCTCAGCACAGCTGATTGTTGGAACAGCTGATTATCGGGAGGGGAAAACAAGAAATACCAGTTTAGCCAAACCGGTAGCTGGTTTTTTACTCCCAATTCAGCCAAACAGTAGCATTTTTTTACTACCGGTTCGTTTGAACCGGGCCGAACTGGTAGAAATACCACCACTGTGATAGAGGCCTTGAATAAACTAGGTAATATCCATCCCTACTTGCTGCATATTTAATGGTCCTCCAACCTTAGAAAGCAGGAAAAATCTCTCAGACACAACTTAGATTCCTACTTGACCAAACATAGGTGTGTTCGGTCAAGAGATGCAAAGAGAAACTTTAATTTGGACAACCTGCCTAGGACTCGACCGGCTGTCCTACCTAATGCTGGATACTGAATTTAAGAGAAAGCAAACTCACAAAGTCCAACAGGCTTAGTTTAGGAACTCTAGCCTAAGATAAGTCTGGGCTGTATTACTTCGAACTGTCTGCAGAAGTTGTAGGCGTTCCAACACTGGAAGCTTTTAAGAAGAGTTTGGACAAGCATTTGTCTGAAAGGGCGTAGGTTTTCCTGCCTGGTTGGACTAGAAAACCTCTAAGGTCCCTTTAGTCTGGGAATTCTCACAGCTTCTGGTTGCCAACATTTGCTCCATGCAAGGTGTCTTTGAAGGCACAGAGGGGAAAGAGGGCTAAGGAGGCCTGGAGCACCTCAACCATGACATGACCCCTCTCCTGCACTGAATCCCACCGGCTCCTCCCCCAGCCCCACAGGGAGGAACCTCTGCCCTTCGCCCCCTTCGGTGTCAGCTGCCCCCAATCCTCCCCCCATCCACCCCCACCCTCTCTCACCCCCCCCTTTTACTGTTGTCTCCCCCATCCTGCTTCTCTATTACCATCATTGCCGCTGCTTCTGCTGCTGCTTCCGCTGCTCTGTTCTTCTAACTTTTTGAACATTTTTTTTTTCCTTTTGATTTATGCTGACTTAAGCAAAAACTTTTTAAAATTCTTATCGGTTTTTTCTGTATTTATGACCTATTTTTTTCCTTTATCTATTCTCTCTCTCTCTCTCTTTCTCTCTCTCTCTCTTTCTTTTTTTATTTTTATTCCTGATCCCTTCCCTTCGATCCACCGTTGTCCCTTTTTGTTGCCCTACGTGTCACTTTGGATCCCAATGGAAATGTCCACTTTTCCCGCCCGTGACGTTTTCCTTTCTCCCCTTCCCTCCCCCCCAAAAAAACAACTCCCGACCCTTTCCCAACGGTCCTCCTTCCCTACTCCTGGGAAACCTCCTTGGTTGTTGCAGCCACCTTGGGAAGCCCAGCCGCCTCATCTCCTTGGGTCTCTCTGCTCCTGATCCCAGCAGCTCTGCTTTTGCTGTGTTAGGAACACAGCCGCTGCTTTTGGAAGACCCCCCGTTGTGTCTCCGAGGCCGGACACCCCAAGAGAGGATCCCCTGTTTTCCAAGGATGGCATCCGTCCGGGGATGGGTGATGCAGGAAGGTGGCGGGGGGAGGGAGAGAAATGCAGCACAAGGAAGGATTCTTCCTTTATTTTCCGTCTTGGCAGAGAGATTGGCTATTTTGTAATGAGGAAGGAGGAGGAGGAGGAGGAGGAGGCACTGTTTAAACTGGGCATGTTTTAAGATTCTGTGCATGTCTCTCCTGAAGTACAACAGCTCTCTTCTGAACCCCTTTTTAGCCCCTGGCTGTGAAAAATAAAATGGATCGCTTACACTTTTCAAATTGTAACGGGGAAGAGTTGGTTTTTCTTGAAAGTTTGGTCAACCGTTTCCGCTCATCGCTGTCCTTTTGCACATCGAAGAAGAAAAAAAATGGGATGGATAGCATCGCCACCAGATGGATTCATAACTGGCTGGCAAGCCGTACTCAACGAGTAGTCCTTAATGGGTCTACGTCTACATGGAGGGAAGTAAGCAGTGGGATCCCACAAGGTTCCGCCTGAGGCCCAGGACTTTTCAATATCTTCCTAAATGACTTCGATGAGGGAATAGAAGGGGAACCATAATGTCAAAGGACAGGCAAAAGACAATCTTGCAGATTCACTGCACAGGTAGTCCTTGATTTACAGCAGTCTTGTTTAGTGACCATTCAAAGTTGCAACAGCACTGAAAAAAAGGGGGCTTGTGGCCGCTTTTTACACTTATGACCATTGTGGCATCCTCTTGGTCACGTGCTCAAAATTCAGATGCCTCACAACTGACTCATATTTATGATGGTTGCAGCATCCCAGGGAGATCACACAATCCCCCTTTGCAGACTTCTGACCAGCAAAGTCATCAGGGAGGCCATAATCACTTAACAACCGTGTGATTAACTTAACAACTGCAGTGATTCGCTTAACAATTGTGGCAAGAAAGGTCATAAAATCAGTCAAAATTCATTTTGAATAACTATCAAAATGTTGGGCTCAGTTGTTCTGTCCTAGGCCTTCCCCAAAAAGCACCACGTCAATTCTGTGTCCCGGCAAAAACTTCTTTTATTACATTAATGTGAATTAATTTCATTCACAGTCAGCCAATGGCTTGGCAAACAGTCTTGCGAAGGTATACTAAGGAGCTCAGACCTTTATCAATCCTGGAATGATGCCTGGTAAAATTCCACACTCAGTGCTGACAGGGAAGGGCTGGGTTACACAGACAAATCTTCATGAGGCTGGAATGAACAGATGAACAAAGGAGCGAGTTGTTTCCTGTAAAAGCCCCCTCCCTTTTTGCTTCTCTTTTGATCCTGATGGGAGGGGCCATTCATTGCCCACTTGTGGCCTTACTCCCACGTAGACCCTGAGTTCTTAATTGTGTCTTCCTTTGGGCAGCTCTCGCATGTGCAGGCTGGGAACAGGTTCCAGAAGCTCCCATGCCTCACAGCTGTCCAAGCCCAAAGTCAGCTGTTGTCTGCCCTGGCCCCATCTCTGCCTCCAATGCAGAGCCATCATCCAAGCTTCCCTCAGCCTCCAGGAATAGTCCAGGTTCCTCCTCAACCTCCTCACTACTGTCTGACTCTGCTGCTGGCTCTGCCAGCCACCAGCGGGCCACAACACTAGTTGCAGGTGTAAGGCAAGGACTACCTGTATTTGTGTCCCCCCACATGTCTCCTGGACATGGGGAGAAGCGCATTGCTTCTCAACTGATTCGTTGCCCATGGCACCAAGTGGCAAAGTCCATTGTGTTCTCACACTATTCCCCAACCGGGTGCCCACCATGTTTGTTGAGCTTTCACTGCCATCGTCCCCATGCTGAATGAAGTTGATGGGAGCACAACTTCCATCCTGCGTCCCAAGCACTGGTGGGAAAGGCAGCTATTGGAGGTCTATCCTCATCACCAAAATGGGGCTATCAGACTTGTGGGTTTGGACCACATGAGGAGGCTTTTGTGTAGGTAACAAGATACTGAGTGGATTCTCCTCATCCCCAATGAAGTTACTCGTGAAAAGGTCCTCCTACATGGAGGCCAAGGTCCACATCCACTTTGCTGCCAGTTCCAGGTGGTTCTGTCCAAGGGTGGGATTCAAAAATCCCAGCAACCAGTTCGCTGCCCAGTTGCTGGGATTGGGCGTGGCCATGGTGGGTGTGGCCTACCAGAACCTCCGGGAGGGCTGTTTTTCACCCTCCCAGAGCCTCTGCGTGGACCCTGCCCTTACTTGCATCCAAAGTGTGGAGACTCCTGGGAGGGGCTGAGCAGGGTGGGTGGGATCAGCCGATCAGTTCAACTACCATTTCAGCGAACTAGATGTAAATTTAACATCCAGTTCTGCCAAACCAGTCTGAACCGGCTTAATCCCACCCCTGGTTCTGTCCCCTTCTGCTGCATGGAAAAGGCCAATATTCAACCGGTGGCCATTCAGGAAAATCGGTTGGCTTCCATGTGGATTTAGCAACGCATCCTTCGGGGCAGGAAGATGACGTCTCTCTTGTTTCTTAAGAGAGAGTGATCTTTCTTTTGGACCATTTTCCAGGATCTATTTGAACAGGCTCTAAAAATAAGTGTGGAACGGTTTTAAGTTCTGCTGCCCATGAATGGTGTGTGTGTGTGTGTGTGTGT